TTACCATACCATACTTGGTACATGAAAAATATTTCATTTGATGAGTTATCTATTATAGACTAATAAAAAGTAAATGCTTATTCCTTTCTTTTGCGTTGAGGACACTTACAACCTGCTGAATACTGGATAATTCTAATCTCAATGGCTGCTTGTTGTTTCTTCAGCAGTTAAATCAGGGTCTAGATGTTCGGGTGTGGGTGTTCTACGTGGTTCTTAAGTTTATGATGCCATCCTTCTAAGTGGTTGTTTGTTCTTGGGCCTACTGTTTCGTAATGGTTCGAAACTTGGAACTGTGCAGCCTGCTTGCATCCAACCAATAACGCTGACCTATCCATAGAATGGCCACCATCCCAAGAAAGTGAAGAAATAAAAAAAAAATCCTGTTCGCACATTCTATCAAATGGTAGTCAATTAAACATAGGAAAACTTATCTTCAGTACTGAATTATGAATACATTTGAAAATAGCATACAATGGTACGAAATGGTAAACATTATACATGTAATCTTCCATATGGTACGAAATGGTAAACATTATAATCTTCCATATGGTACGAAATGGTATACATTATAATATTCCATATGGTACGAAATGGTATACATTATAATCTTCCATATGGTACGAAATGGTATACATTATAATCTTCCATATAGTACGAAATGGTAAACATTATAATCTTCCATATAGTACGAAATGGTATACATTATAATATTCCATATGGTACGAAATGGTAAACATTATGATCTTCCATATGGTACGAAATTGTTTTTGTTAAGGTACGAAATGGGTGGTACAAAATGGTTATGGTACGAAATGACTATGATTCTTCAGTGATGATTGAGTCCAAAATATTTGAAAATGTAATACATTAACCAAACGTTGAAGATCTGACAAAACAAAACCAAAAGAGGATCAAACCGGTATCCACATTTGGTCAAGGAATCAGTGCTTTGCACGAGGGAGATATAAACATTAATTTAGAATTAATTCCAAAATTCTACAACAGCAAATTTCATTATAACAATCTCGGGTGCGAATTCGAGAAAGGTTGTTGTTCTTTCCGCGATTTTTCCTCAAACTTCATAAATGAGCTACGATTTCCCTCAAATTTGTATCTGAAGATCATACTATTACCCGCAAATTGGTAAATCTGTACACCGAAATATATGACAATAAGTAAAACAAATACGCACAAATAACATGAATAGCATTCAGGAGTTCATCATGTAGCACCTACCCCATATTTGTTAAAAAGGTAAGCTCAGTGAAATCATTTTGGTGAAGTAACTTGGCACGTGTTGTCAAAGACGTTAAATCATTGGTATTGTTTTATTTTGTTTTTCTGTCTTTCATTCACTTTTATTGTGACAAAAGGCATAAGGGTTTGGATGGGGTGCTTCATTTCTCTTCGCTAATTTTTTAGGCCATTTTCCTTTTTTCTTTATTTTCTGCCCGTTATTCTCTCTTCTCTTTTTTTCCCTATTTGCTCTATTCTTTATATTTTTTGCCCTTTATTATGTATTTTTTGCCATATATTCTCTATTCTGTAAACCCCATTCAGACCCTCCAAAATAGAAGACAACCATAATCGGTCTTACATTCACATTTGACTTATGTCTTACATTTATATAAAGGGTAGGCTAAACAAAAGAGTTTTTTGTGTGAGTTAAGATGGACAGTTTGTATTGCATTTGTTTTCATCGTAGAACATTTCATTGGTCGATTATCCTAGGAAATGATAAATTATTTAAATGAAATTACCTTTTCACCGTTAATTGTAAAGAAGACATCCACTTCGGAGTTCTCTAGAATGTCGGTTGAAGGAAACACAATACCACAACCAATGATATCGCCGATATTTGCTTTCGGACCAAATATGGGACCTTTGAAATCTGATTCAAACAATCTATGGAAAAATAAAAACACTCATTTGTCAAAATATTGTACATTGAGTTTAAGAATACCATTTCTGACTAAAAAGGTATACCTAAGATAAGTGACTCTTGTACATCACAGGAACGCTTGTTTCGGTCGTTTGCATAAGTATATTCTAAGCCTCTGAGTACCATGGCTTATTTTACTTCTAGTTCACACCAGTACGTAAAGAGCAGTTTATCACAAACGCATCATACTGACGTAAAGATTGATCTCCCTGATACCAGGTTTACACCTTTAAATAACTAAATTGTTCTATGGCTATTCGATATATGTTCAAATTGTCGTAGCCACAAATCCATCTTGGTTCATTTGACTATGTTTTACTTGATTGTTGTTTATATTAAGATAAATAGTGTTGAGTTCTTTTTGATTTATGTCTTTGTTCTGTCTAATCTGATATTAGGTATGTCCCGTGATCGAAAAGGGACGAAGTACTGCCCACTACACGTTCTGGCTGGTGTTGAAACTGACCCCTCCCCTCCTGTCACCATTTTAACAGCAATCCATTTACACAAAAATCAATAGACATATATATATTCAATATCGGTCCTTCAACAATAGACAAGTGTCACTTCTATAACAAGCTCGAAATCGTTCCTTTCCACGTGTCAGCGAGCGCAAACAGTTGAAAGTCAATATAAACTCGTATAAACCTAAATTTAGAATGAATGACGAAAAGTTCAGCTACAGGGACTAACATGTTATTCCGTAATAAACTTAGAAAAGTATTCTTTAACTAGTTATAACAATTACATTTTATTCATATACCGAGTAATCCTGTTTAGATTGTTCTGTTAAAAGCTCTCATCTTTACATATTTCTCAAAGCTCTCGTAAAAAGGCCATGCAGACAGCCATCTTGATTGACTGACTGAGTATGAACACATGGATTGGTTAGCATCTATTAAGGAACATCCCTATCGTTGTTTAATTGCATCTCCTATTCTGGCTTGATTTTAAATAATAAAAGACCGTTTTACGACCATGGTCATGATATTTGATTGTATGGAAAATAATAATCGTCTTCAAGAATATATTACATGTACTTGGTATATTTAATCTCATTTGTCAGACAAGACTAGACAAGTCTGACCAATATACATATATATATACATGTACCTATTTACTAACCATAAGAAAAATAGAATATTTGTAAGAAGAAGAAAATGCCTGTTTTCTTGTTTTTGTCTCATTTTTTCCAGCTTTAGAAATTTCAAAGTGTCAACGAACCATGACGGACAAATGACGTTTAGTGAAGGGAATGGGTCAGATATCATTTTGTCCTGTGAAGGAAGCTTTTAAGGGGGCTATAAATTAAATAAATCAAAGATTTCGTACCTCCCATGATCAGCATGAAAAGCTACAGACCCTTCACGCCAACCAGGAGCTCCATGTACACCATATGACTCAGAAACAACTCCTATCCCTGAAATACAAAACAAATTTAGTATTATATACATTATAAAAATAGGTATTTCTTTTATTGAAAATTTAAAGAAAACGTTAAAAAAACTCTTTTTTTTTTATATCTATGGTCATTTTTTAATGTGTTGTCTTTCCTGTTAAATTGAGAGCATGCGTAGAAAATATTTCCGTGAGATAACGGTAATACAAGAATAGGTAATTCTTTGACTGTAAAATTTAGGAACATGTGAAAAATAAAATGTTGACGTAGAGATATGTCGCGCCTGTATGAAATGTTGATAGTACAATGTTAATAAAGATACCTTTTCAAAAGTTTCAAAGTAAATATACTATGAATCAGTTACTAAGAAAGCAGCGCCAAATAATCACCATGGAATTAAAATCTGATAATGCTAATACAACTGCATATCAAGTATGATTGACCTACCATTGTTGGTTCCCCTTAAACCGAATTTAATCAATATTTTGAAAGGCTTCAGAATCTTCTCGAGTGATTAAAAAAAACGGCAATCAAGACGGGCATCAATTTTATCATAACTGATTTTCCATAACCTTACGACCACTGGGTCGATGGCAACGTGGTGGAGGTTTCCTCCCCGAATGTATCACCAACCCAGTACTCAGAACTTCTGTGTTGACACGAATTATCATTGAAATGGTCATTATTATAAATTATCTATGTACAAAACTTTGAAATGTTGGAAATATTACCGAAAGGATGTTCTATCCAAGAAATAGATTTTCTTAGCTGTATTTAGAAAAAAACCTTTCGAAATTTTGGGTCTTCAATACTCTTCAACTTCTTACTTTATTTGGCCTTTTTTAATTTTTGTTATTCGAGCGTCCCTGATGAATCTTTTGTGTTTACGAAACGCGCGTCTAGCGTACAAAAATGTAATCCTGATATCTTTATTGAGTTTATTCCTAACTGCAAGAGACATCGTAGACAATGAGTGCAAAAAATAGTAGTTTTGTGTTACTGCAACCTGATAATATAAATAGTATTAATTATATTATTGACCCGTCCGTCCGTCTGTCAGTCCGTCAGTCATCTTCTTGTCATCGCAACTCCTCTGAAACCACACAACAGGATTTCATGAAACTTTGTAGATTATAAGGGCATACTATGTAGACGTGTATACCGACAGGAAATCAAAATTCTTTTTTTTTCTAGGAGTTATTCCCCTTTGGACTTAGAACTTTGGCCTAAATATACTATTGCAACAGTTTGTCATCGCAACTCCTCTGAATTCACACAACAGAATTCCATGAAATTTTGTAGATTATAAAGGCATACTATGGAGATGTGCACATCGACAGGAAATTGAGATTCAATTTTTTTCTAGGAGTTACATGTATGCGCCTTTGGACTTAGAATTTTGGCCTAAATATACTACTGCAACAGTTTGTCATCGCAACTTCTCTAAAACCACACAACAAAATTCCATGAAACTTTATAGATAATAAGGACATAATATGTAGATGTGCACATCCACAAGAAATTTTGTATCCGTTGACTTTTGTAGGAGTTTGAATTTAGGAATCTGTTAAGATTTTTTTTGCCCAGTGACAATGTGGTACCGTGGGGTATGTGAGCGTGCTCACTAAGGTTCTTTTAGTACATATATAAAATGCTTACCATTAACACCCAGGTTTACAATTTCTACTTCAAAATAGTTATTTTCTTTTGTTAGACGTCCAGCAACGACAGCTATTCCTTCGGAAAAAATTCCACCTTTGTTGCTACACAAATAAAAAAGTTTTTTTCCATGCATGATTTGTGATCACAGTTGTAGGAAACCTATCAATTTCTTACTTACTAATGTTCTACAAACGCGTAAATGAGTGTGTGGATGGGAGTCACTCATTTCTGTATTCTTTATTTTTTTTGCCTATTATTCTCAATTCTTTATATTTTAGCACCTTATTATTTTTTATTCTTTATTTATTTGGACCATTTTTCTCTATTCTTTATATTTTTGCCCATTATTCCCTGTTCTGTAAACCCCCATCCATACCCTCTTAAATGACCAACACAAGCAATCTGAAAAACTACGTTTCTGTATAGTCTCCAAGGAAAAAAGCTCGTTATGAAAATTTAATTTACCTCTTCAATTGAGCTTAAAATTGAGGTTAAAGCCAAATGAAATTTGTCAGACGTTAACATATATACTTCTCGCTGCAAATAATATATGCAGTAATTGGTACCATATCATACATTTTACCTTAGAGTTATACCTCATCCTGGAGAGTTAACCTGACCAATGGCGGATCAAATCAAGAGCAATGCCTTATGGAATGTGTCTAGCTCTTTGCAACCGATTAAAATGACCTACATGTGTCATGAAACAGGCTTCATTCTTAAAACGTAACCTACATTGTATCGACTTTAGCTTGAAAATGAGGTCAATGCCATATGACACATGTAAAATTACATTTATATTTCAAAGTACCTGGAAAAATACATACCTTATTGTAGCACCTTTAATTTCAATGCAGTCATGTGCTTTTTGGAAAATTCTATTAGTTTTTACATCTGTCAGTTGTTTTCTATAGGAATCATGGTTAAGAAAAAGACAATTGGTTTTCTTGACATATTTCGATGAAGTCCTATCTTTGTATTCAACAGCAACCACACGCTACAAGATATGTAATCTAGTACAAACCTATAAACAATATAGTCTGATAAAAGATTTTGATATTCAGTGCTTTATTTCAGATTTTTTTTAAATATTAGTTTCAATTTAAGGAACATTGATATATACCTTAAAAAGACTCAACCGAATGTAGAAAACAGGGAGGATGGATACCAAATACAAGACTATCTTTTTTTTTTCTTAAAAAGTTACAAAACGACAAAATTCTGGTGCTCAAAATTGTCTATAATTAGGACAAGGGAGGATATTACCTGAATTGTCTTCTGCATTTTGTTCGACAGAATAGTTATATTCATCCTGTCTTGTACAAGATTATTTATTTTCAGTTCTAATCAGGTGCAAAAATATTTATTTTCAGTTCTTACCAGGTGAGCTTATTTATTTACAGCCCCCCCCCCAAAAAAAAATAGATGTTTGTCCCCTAATATACCTCTTTTGTCAATAAATCCTTCAGTTCATTTTCTTTCGCTACCAGCTTTGCATAAATTAGTTCTGCTTTCTGTTGTTCACTTTCATCGTCAAAATTGGTAACATCTGTTATAAAGTTGAGCAGGTCTCCAGTTACATGTTGTTGTTGAGCAGCCTTTTAATATAAAAACATGACAAACAATTAAAATGCATGTTGATCATTGTCGAACTGTATTTGTTTCACTCACGGGTTCACAAACTAAAAGTTGTCAAATCGTATTGGAAGTTAAATACTAGTATTCGAGAGTCTGTATCATATACTTTAAGCATTCTACAATTTTTTCATATTTTCATAATACCCAAAAGTGTATTTTAGCAGTTCATCTTGCTGTTGAAGGTTCGCATTTTTATCAGGACTTGTGCAATTGCGAATTTTACATGTTTTTGAATAATTCTGCTTCGGGGATAATTGCTAACCAAATGAACTAATTTGTATCCGGAAGACAATACATAGCTCACCTTGCCGAACTCCTTTATTTTTAAATTTTACGATGTGTAGTACAAACTGTACATATCAACTCATTTGAGATTTGAATGCTTCTTTTTGTAATTTTCTTGGGATGTAAAATCTTTGACCGAGGCACATTTTGTAAGAAACGTGGAAGCTAAAAATGTGCGCACGATCAATGCGTTTACAACTTTTGAAATTACAAAAGGAAGCTGCATCCAATTCTTATAATCATATTATTATTCTGCAACCATAAAATAAACAGTTACACGTATCAAATGTTTCGTTACATTTCCTATGCATTGTTGATACGTTGTAATGAAAAGAACGTATTGTCATGAATGCTGTGTTTTATTGGGAAATAAAATCTGATTTTGGAATGCCTCGCCATTATTGTCAGACAATCAAAATTACGCATTGGTGTGAAACATAACTTAATGTAATATACTTAAATAAAGGTCTGCTATTCAGATGTATAACCTGCAATGTGTGTCTTTTTGTCGGAATGTTTGTCAATTGTGTTGGTTCTTTTGGGATTAGGACTATAATACCATACCATTTATTATCTTTTAAATCTTTGAAAACTTTTAAATATGGTTATTTAATAAATCAATGCTTTAAGAATTGACCAATCATTAAATCAATCCTTGAATAAACTAGTGTTGTTACAGGTTTTATAGACTTGATATGATTTCCGGAAAATTATAGATCTTGCAAAAACAAGGAATAAACTTAGAATATTCAAACATTGAAAAATAAAAACATTCTTCATTGCCATTTAAAATTTCCTTTATTTTGTACAGTTTATAACTTGGCATATTGCAAATACACATGTATATTATTGTTAAAAATGTATGCTGACCTTTAAGTCATTTGAATTTCATAATTATATAAACTATAATCACCGTTTGACCTATTGCTGTTGTAGAACCGTCTCCATCTGTTTCCAAACTGTTTTCATCACTAAGTCTTGAATGCATGCTTTGGAAATGAAATCATATCCAATATAATATCACAGTAAAACTGTTATGATTTTGATTAATAAATGTTCTTATGTTTAGAGGAAAATAGCAATTTATTAGAACATTTGCTTGTTAACTTAATACCAAATGTACCCTTATTAAAAAATGTGCCAAAAAATAAAAACTTCTGTATAGAAATTATTTTGTTACCTGTTTTCCAACTGTTTTGAAATACAAAAAAAAAACGCTTGATATAAAATGACTGATAATTAGTTCCTCACCAGCTCCGATTCGGGACAATTTTTTTTCAATGAATGCAAGAAGTAGGTTGTCTGGATGTATAGTGGGACTTTTGGACTGTCACTTGAAAATGAGGGCAACTATGTTGGAAAGGGAAACCAATTTGCCTTTCAAGAAGCACCTGCGGATACATAAGAGAGGGTTGCAAGGGTTCTTTAAAGTGCAGAGAGTGCAGCAGCACTCTAGTCACAAGAGGCATTGGATCCTGGAGGGATTTTAAACGTATCATAATCTGAACACCATTCGATTCTGAAATAATATTGGTGAAATGAATATATCTGATAAAACACTTAACCACTCCACACACTATAAATTGGACAAGTAGTTTTGTGTACTTAACAGTGATAAAATCTACTGCACATGTACATCGAATTTTGACAAAGATTTATGTACTTATTTTAATTCCCGAGCATGAACCTCAAACATCTTGCTCAATCTGTTAGTTTTAAGAACACAAATAAATATCTTGACTTGACCTCGCCGATCTAAAGCCTCTTCCAACCGATTGTTTACAGTTTGTCCATTTGTTTTTTTTTTAACCACTGACACAATATCACACACCTATACCCCCCCCTCCAAAAAAAAAAAATTTGACCCCCAAAAAATTACCCTCATTTCAAGTAAAAGAGCCCTAAATTTTCATAAAAAAAAAGCAAAAAAAAAACGCAAAAACACCAAAATTTTCTTACTCCCAAAAAAATTTTTTTTTTCCAAAGTAAAAAAAACGTTATTAAAAACACCCAAAAAACAACAAAAAAATTCCAAAAAAAAAATAAATAAAAAAACCGGGAGACCAGGCGAAGAAAGAATTCTGTGGGATTTAAGAGAAAAAAAAAAATTAAGTGTTTTTCCTTAAAAAATGGAAACAAACGAGCGGAGCGAGATACACTCCAATTTACCAAAATATCCACATTGTGTTATTATATGTGGACAAACAGGATGTGGAAAAACAGAGTTTGTTCTTGATTTATTAGAAGGAGAATATAGTGGAGTTTTCAAATATATAGTCATACTTTGTCCAACAATTCAATGGAACAAAGCATACAAAAATCGTGAATGGATTGGTGATGTTAGAAAACCAAAAACAAAAAATCTAATAATTGTTAATCCTATTGTCAAAGAAGAAGAGAAGCTACAAGAACTACTAAGAATGTTCTTTAAAAAATATGCTGGTCATCCAACATTATATATCATTGATGACTGCAGTGCAACAAAAGAACTAACAAAGAAAAAAGATATGCTGTCCGAGCTTGCATTTTCAGGAAGACATGCGGAACAATCAGTGTGGGTCATTTCACAGAGATACAACTCTGTTTTAAAAGATTTAAGAGAACAAACAAAATGGTTATGCATGTTCTACACAAAAGATAGAGATAGTTTTGATAATTGCCTAAGAGAAAATGATGTTATTCCTACTTTGGAAGAAAGACAAAGAATAAAGGAAGAACTTAAAAAAAAGAAACATCGTAAATTAATATTAAAGACAGATCAACCTACTGATTATTGGTTACTTGATTAATTTTTTTAGCAATTCTCAAGTAATGCTTAAGTAATGCTTAAGTAATGCTTAAGTAATTCTTAAGTAATTTAACCAAAATTTTTAACCAAAATAAGCAAAATAATGCTTAAGTAATGCTTAAGTAATGCTTAAGTAATTCTTAAGTAATTTAACCAAAATAAGTAATTCTTAAGTAATTTAACCAAAATAAGCAATAAAAAAAAGCAATGCTGTTGGAAATACTAACAATTGCAACAAACACTGGTTGGATATGTTGTATTTAATTTTTTTAAAGTTAAAAATAAATTATATCCGTTTTTTGAAACGTATAAAATGAATGCTGAAGAATTATTAAGCGAGCAAATTGTGGAAAACATAAATATTGATGATGAAGCGAGCGAAGTGAACGGTTCCCTTCAAGAAAAAAAAAACGCGAAAGATTATCATCCGTTGTTGCTGGTGGGAGTAGTAAACAATATCTGGGTAAAGAATTACAACTGTCAGATATTGATAAAATGACAACAGAGCAAATAAACAAACTATACTGTAAATATGAAGCAAGATTGGGAGCTAGTATGACCAAGACATTAGGAAACTCTTTTATAAATTTATATGTCATGGGTGTATCAAAGTTTTTCAAAGTTGTTAATCCACCAATTTTAATACAAGACTTAGAGGAAGATCCTTTTATCAATAATGCTTTAACTAATACATGTTGTGAACTGTACTATAGATATGAAATGTATCTTGCTCCTTTTACTGCAATATTAACAACAGCAAGACATATTGAACCATTCGCTTCGCTCGATTTCCGAAAAAAAGATGAAAATAATGACATAAAAAATGATGAATGAAAATCCTGAACAAAAAGAAGTATTTAAAAAACCCAAACCAAAAGACCCAAAAAGAGTAGCTGCTGGTAAGAAAGGTGCAGAAGTAAGAATAAGAAATGCAGAATTGAGAAAAAAAGAAGTGGAAAAATTAAAAAAAGAAAATTCAAAAATCAAACAAATAACAAAAGATTCTGATACAGAAACAGATTATGAATCAAACGAACATATCCCTTCTGTCAAAAAACACTCCAGTTCCCTAGTTGATTACAAATTTGTACTTTTTCCTATAAGTATTGTTGGATTGGGATTGTTTTTTTACAACCAAAGTAAGAAACCAGAAAGAATGATTAAAGAAATAACAAAACCAGAAAAACAAAAGAAAGAAATTGATCCTTTTGAATTTAATTAAATTTAGTACATTAAAATGACAACTCAAAAAGACGGAAAACAAATAGCAAATATGTTATATCATGCTGGAGTGGAAACATTGTTAACAGTTGGATATGCAGAAATAGGTAAAAAGGTATTAAGGAGGCCAGCACCAAAAGTGGATTTTAATATGAATGATGTTGTAATGTTATCCATTGATATATTACTTGCGATAGCAACAAAAGATATGTTGATTAAGCAAGGTATTATACCTGCTGATATCATGAAGTAATTTTTGTTTTTATAAAATGGCAAGTGCTTTAACAATGATGCTTGGTGGGGCAATAACAAATGCTTTTGCATTTTCAGGGAGTAATTATTTATTTTCACATATGGGTAGTAATGCAAATGAAGAGAAAATAAGACATGATAAAGCTATAGAAAAATTAGAAAAAGCACAATCAGAATGGAATAAAAAAAGAATACAAAGATTAGATTTTATAAATGAACAATTACAAAAGGAACATCATGCGGTTCAGACTTTTGATGATGTTGACCAGGCAATGAAACTATACTATCGTGTCACGAATAAAAAATTAACTTCATTATCACCTAAACCTACATTAAGTGATTTTTATACTCCATCAGAAGACCAGAAAAATAGAGAGATTGCATTTGTTGTTGGTGGTATGACATTAACTGGTTTTATTGTTTGGAAATTAAAATAAAAAATAAATACAATTTACGTTTGTATGAAAAATTGGAAAAATAAGAAAAAATTGATAAAAATTAGAGTCCCTAATTTCTGTACTTTTCCTGGTAAAAACAGCAAAATTGCAGAAAAAAGTATGTACTATTCCTGTACTTTTTCTGTTTTTAGGGGTATAGAGAAATAAAATAAAATAAAAAATTAAATTTCAGGACATGGTTTTTCAAAAACATATTCATAAACTTTATCTGGTCTAATAAAAGCATCCCAACCAGGAGGAAACTTAGATAACTTTTTACCATCAAACTTTTCCATTACTTCCATTTGTTTTGGAGTCAAAGGACATTCTCCATCATCTCTTAAACAACATATCTGATAATCTGATAACATTATTCTTCCTAATATAACTTTAGCGTCAGGATCATCTTTCTCAGTATAAGCTTCAATCATTTTTTAGTCTTTTATTTTTTAAAATAAAAATTTAAATTATATATTTTTTAATATCCATAAGGAAAACTTCTAATTAAATTTTCATTTTCACAATATACCATTCTTTTATCAAACATATAATTATAAGCTTTAACTTGTTTAACTGTTTTAAGTTGATGATCTTTTCCTATTTTTATGTTGTCATATTTTACAGTTTCATATTTTTCATTTTCATCAGTAACTATTTTTATTTTTTTATCTAATGTAATCTTTTTTTCTACTTCAGCATTTAATCTAAAACCTTTACAACAGCTAACTAGTTTTTCTGTATCTAGTTTCATAGAATAATCTTTTGGACCAGCAGATATAAATTGTTTTATATGATTAGCGTTATGTTTTGAAACAATTTCATCTGTTAAATCTCCTAATTTATTTCCCATCATACTTTCTATTTTTTTACAAGCTTCAGAACCATCATCATTATAAATACAAGAATCTGTATCCATGTATAAAACTCTTTCTTGAAGAATATCCAATAGTTCGTATAATTTTAATCTAGCATGTGCTGTTGTAAACAAAGCTATATAAACATTTACACTTGGATTAGGTTTAGAGTATTCTTCTTTATTTTTATATTCTGTTAAAACAATATCTTCATCTAATATCATAGTACTTATATCTTTATATTTTTCATTAAATACTATTTTAGTTATATGTTCTAAAGTAAAACAATATTCTTTTTGTGTAAAATTATCTCTCATACCAAAATGTCCCCATAAATTATTTAAACATATTTTAGCTATAAATCTTAATCCTGAATTGTACTTAACTTTGTCAATATCTAGATCATAAGCAGTATTATCTATAATGTATTGTATTTT